TCCAAAAGGTTCAGACCAAAGCATATCAAAGTTTGAATTAATGATGTTGCTTTACTGCTGCAAGTGGCACTAAATCTCATTTGTGTGTGAGGCAAGTTTAGGATCAAGCTCAGTGTTTTTGTTTGAAAGTTTCGGGTCACGATTTTAGGATATTTGGCATAGAACAAATGGCTTGCCTGGCCATCTGAATTTTTTGTTATTTAAATTTGCGGCAATCAGGTTCCTGACTTTTTAAATGCTAAAATCAATGGATTACCCGTAAAAGAGGTCATTAAAGATACAAAGTGGCTGGAGCAAGAGTTTACAGAAAAGGTCCAGAAGGTAAGAATGAACCTAAGGTTGAGTTCCTCACGACTTTCTTTATAAATGCTACCGTTATCTATACATGATTCATCCGTGTTCATTATTACTTTGTTTATAGAGAGGTGGAGAACTTATTAAGAAATGGGGAAGATCCTCTGCAGCATCAACTGCAGTATCAATTGTTGATGCCATGAAGTCTCTCATTACTCCAACACCTGAAGGCGATTGGTTCTCTTCAGGAGTAAGTTCATAGATCCTATATTCCATCAGTGGGATTAGTGTTAATCTCCTGTCTTGTTTTGAAAATTAATAGGTATATACCAACGGAAATCCTTATGGCATAGCGGAGGATATAGTTTTCAGCATGCCATGCAGATCAAAGGCAAGTCTATCATCATGGAATGGCCTTCCTAATACTGTACCTTTTTGCTTCATTGATCCTCCAGCCCTTCGTGTTCTGTCCAGTAATTTTCCATCTTTCAGGGAGACGGCGATTATGAACTAGTTAAGGATGTAATAATTGATGACTACCTCCAAGGCCGGATAAAGAAGGTAATAAGTGGTGAAACTTAAGATCTTATTAACCTATCGTTCTTTACGAAGTAATATTATAGTGTGTGACACTAACATTTGTTTGCATCCATGAAATTAAATTTATGAGGTTCCAATAGCCTATAACAATATTTTTGAAGCAGTTGAGTTTAGAGATCTTTTAGCGTGTACGTTCTGAGTAGCTCTTATGATATGATATATGAGTGCATGTACTCATCATTGTGCAGACTGAAGCCGAGCTGTTGGCAGAGAAGAAATGCGTAGCCCATCTTACCGGGGAGGTAATATTAAACCAAACCATACATCAAATAAGTTTGGACCCTTTTAAGACCCGTGTTCTTTTGGCCTTAATTTTAACCGGAGTTTGGAGTCTAGAAATTTAGGGCTTGTTCTCTTCACCTGATCTGATTTGAATGTAGTTATATCTAAAGCTGTTTCTGTAAAAATAAGTAACAAGTAATAAGAATAAGTTGAAAAAAACATGTTCTTAAACTTAAATCTCGATACTTGGTAACTAGAGTCTGATGGAGTCTAGCTTGATGGATAATTAGAATATAAAGGTTAAATGAATATGTCCTTAGTCAGTCACATAATATTCCTTTTATTTTTGTTTCATAAATATATATATAGGGTATAGCTGTGTGTGATTTGCCTGGGGACACCATGCTTCCTGGAGAGATGTGAGAGATGCAACTCCAAAGCTAAGATGATGTTAATGGCGGACAACACCATCATACTATATATCATTTCGAGGTTTTGTAATAATTAATTTCTATTTTTTTTGGCTCAAATAAAGAACTGCGATTGGGTTTTGTACACTGATTTGGTAGATAAATTTGTGTTTGTGTTAAGGAATGAGATGCATCAACTCTTGAGTCTTGCCCCGCCTTTCTGGGTGTTTTTTTATGCTTATAAGCTAGTCAAAATTTTTATAAACCGTTTTTAATTTATAAGTTATCTGATGACATGTTTTGATGACATGTTTTTTCGTGTTTATAAGCTGCTTATAAGTATAGAAACAAAATACTTCCTCTGTTCATCATAGATATTTCCAATAGCCTTTTTTCTTTGTTCACAATAGATCTTCTCATTTCATTTTTAACAAGTAAAATATTACAACTACCCCCACTTACTTTATTTATTACACCTCACCCACCTCATTTAATACACTCCACCCATTTTTCATTAAGGATATTATGGTAAACTTTTACCTTTTTTCAACTCTCCTTAAAAACCACCAAAAGTTAAAATGAGAACATCTTAGGCGGACGGAGGGAGTAAGCTCTTATCTGTTTATCTTCAAGTCAATTTTTTCATTTTTCCGTTTTGACTAGATTATTTAAAAAACTTTTTCTAACCTTTTTTTAATATTCCCAAATGACTTATCTCCAATTTAACTCATTTTACTTCTATGAAAGAATATTTAACTTATAAGTAATTTATAAGTTAAAAATTGTTTATCAACAATAAGTCAATAAGCACCAACACAACATTGTCTTTGTAACCATTGCTTTTAGTCACCCCTTCATATACCTTTTACATTCAACAAAAATTTCTTAGAGCACTAGTAGTGAGAGAAAAAAGTCCTCACAATTCTCTCTCTACAATTTCTCTCTTCCACCTCACCTTTTTTTTTGTGTGGAAACTCTTTTTAGTACACCCCAATGGTGAAGAAGTGCTTTTTTCTCTCAATCCCTGCATGCCACACACTCTCTCTCTTAGTACTCTTATATTATGTTTTTAGATGTAAACCTATAATTCACAGTTATTTTAATTCTTGAAATTTTAATAAAACCTTCTTCCCACAAAATATTTCTTGTTTAAACTTTAAAAATGTATAATTTTGGTGTTATTTTCTATTTTATAATTTTTATCCTACACATAGGGGTACACATAGGGGTGAGTATGGTACGATATTTAGCTCGTACCAAACATTTTTGATTCGTTATAAGATTCTATGTCGTACCGATTGTAATCCTAAAATTTTAGTTCGGTATGGTTCGGGATGGTTCCGTATGGGTTTCGGTACAAATTAAATTGGTATAAATACATATGTACCTAATTTACACTTAAAAATGTAAAAAAACCATTTATTTTTGAAAAATAAAAGTGCATTTAATAAAGGAATATAAAAAACTGAAAAATTAATAATTAAATTCAAGAAATGTTTATGAAACTTAGTTCATATTTCAAATGATTGTTAATATTTTTAAATTTATCTAAAAAAATTAAAACTCGAAGAAAAGAATGATGTACACAATAAAATTTGAACCACATTTTTAAATACACTTATTATTTGATGAAGAAATATAAGAAGAATATTGTATTTATATATTAGTATATATGTTTGGTTCGGGAATTTTGGTAGGTGAAGTTACCCCATACCCTTGCCAAATACCGAACCAATCATTCGATTCGGTACGGTTCAATTTTTTCAGTATTATCTCGGTTCGGCATTTTTTGGTTCGATTTCTCGGTTTTTTCAAGAATTTTTGGGGTTGGTTTGGTACTTGTAGGCTACACATCATATCTTACCCTACTATTAAGTAAGAGCAAAATAAGAAAATAACACCAAAATTGCACATTTTTAAAGCCCGCCTTTATTCAAACATAAAATATTTTATGGGACAGAGGGAAATAGTATTTTTTGTGAAATACGGAGTAATGTTTTTGGTGATGAAAAAAAAGTTTCAAATTCAAAGAAAATTTGATTATATTTAAGGAAAAAACATATGCACATTTTTACAATTTTTTTATATCACAAATACCATTTTTCATTGCATTTGAATTGAGATTATCTAATACATTGAAATATAAGGCAAACATACAACAAGTTGCATCGCTAACCCTTTTTTTATAGTAAAACTAAGTCTTTCAAAGAGGACAACTCTCTCGATAAGAGTAACATCTATGAAAATATTAAAATAGAAATCCTAAGTTTTGTAAGACAAAAATAGAAGTTCACAGTGCCATTGTTACACTTACTACATTATCACATTGCAACTGTCACACTATTAGTGTCGTCACACTGCCATTCGTCGCTGCCGATAATCAGAATGCCGTCGTCGATCACCGGTGGTTGACTGATCATGTTGCTCTAATACACAGCCATCACTTTTCCATCACAATCCCAACACGTACATTTACATAGGTGCATGGATGGGCGTGCTCCCCACCAACAAGACTCCGTATGCGATGTGCTATGTATTTTAATGTTGAGTGCCGACCAAGGTGATAATTCCCAATCGGCGCGAGGAAGCATGTGACTAGCTGAAAAACGAGGATGCGATGGATATAGAGTTGAACTTCATTGATGAGGGAAGAGAAAAATCTTTCAAGAAAGCTGATAATGATTGAAAGTATATAAAAGACTACTATGATCATATGGTGAAACAGAGGAGTTTCAAAGCCGACAATCTTCTGCTACAATGGTGGGAAGTCAGTCATCCCTTAGAAGAAGGAAAGCTTGCCAAAACTTTTGAAGGGCCATACATAGTCACAACGGTTATTCAGACGAGGGCTTACAAGCTAAGCATCCTCAAGGACCGTGAGGTCTATTGACACTTGAATGTAGAGAATCATGTAGCTTTTTATGCATGATCGACTAAACGAGTATACGATTACGAGATTTCATGATCTAATGCGTCCGCAACTGATCTATCATCACCTCTACACACTTCAAAACAATTAATAAAAGTTCAAGTTTCATCCAGCTCATGTGTACTCATCATGTTCACTCATTACTTAAGTTTATATATATATATATATATATATATATATATATATATATATATATATATATATATATATATATATATATATATATATATATATATATATATATATATATATATATATATACATATATATATATATATATATATATATATAAACACACATAATCAGGTTAAAATCAGGTTTTTTCATTCATAATATTAATTTATATATCTAAAAATTACTTAAAATTTCACTTGGTTTAGTATTATCATAGGAGAAAATAAGTTTTGAACACCTCAGAATAGGTCTGAATATGGATGGCCTAGATGCTAGGAGAAAATAGGTTGGGACACCAGCTTCAAATGAGTCCTATTAATTAAAAAATAATTAATTGGTCCTACTTAGAGAAAAGTGACAACTTTTAGTCTCAAATGCAACAAGTTTTACTTAAGTCTGTGGAAACAGAAATAGGAGCTAAACAATAATAAAGTTGTTTCTGGAAACATAATTAGTAGCTTCACGTAGAGTTTGCTGCCCATTTCGCATTTTCATCATCACTGTCATGCATGTACAACTAACTATCAACTCTGACGACTTGGGAAGACTTTATAATCGGAGCTTGAATAAGCCCCAAATTTAAAATCTTCGCCCTCACTGTCTTCCAAGACAATTGGCAAATCCCTATAAATAACAAGAGCAAAAAAGAACCAATTTAAGGAACATTGCACATTTGGTAAAAAAGAACCAAATTAAGGAACATTGCAAATTTGGTTTGAGATTACTATTGCTTTTAACACAAGTCACAAATTAAAGATTTGCAAACAAAGAGAGTGGGTGCGTAGTAAACCCGGACTTTGTATAAACCCCAAATTGAAAATCTTTTGGCTCAACAACTCCCTTGCCCTCCTCCTCCTCCTCCTCCTCAGTGCTTGGGATTATTTGTAGTGGCAAAGCCCTATAAATAAGAGGAGCATAAAAGAACCAAATTAAGGAACATTGCACATTTGGTTTGAGATTATTATTGCTTTTAACACAAGTCACCAGATTAAATATTTGCAAACAAAAAGAGTGGGTGTGTAGTAAACCCGGACATTGTAAAAACCCCATATTGAAAATCTTCTGGCTCAACAACTTCCTCGCCCTCCTCCTCCTCAGTGCTTGGTCTCTGTAGTGGCAATTTCCCTATAAATAACAGGAGCATAAAAGAACCAAACTAAGGAACATTGCACAATTTTTTGAGATATTTATTGCTTTTAACACAAGTCACCAAATTAAAGATTTGCAAACAAAGAGAGTGGGTGCGTAGTAAACTTACACAAGAATTGTGGTTAAAACATGATTGTAATGACCAGGAGGGAAGCATCTAATATGAGAATCAATCACAAGACAGGTTTTTCCAACTCTAAATTTTGTAAAATGTAAACCAGCCTGGGCACCTTGTGATTTCACAACTTCAAACATGTCAGCAGGACCAGGGAATACTTGTATTAGTTCCAGAATTGCTGATGGATCTTTCGTCTCTCCTACCACATAGGAATTCGGGTCCCTCCACACCAGACCTATCTGCTCGTCTTCCAAAGCAACCAAGACCGTGTGATAATCTCTTTTAGGGCTAGGTAGCACCCCTTGCTCAGCCAAGTCATGGCAAAAATACTCCCCAGTATAACAGTTTAGCACCACCAGTGTTGTGCCATCACGCGTGTCCAACCACATCATCCGGCCCTTGGAAACAATTGCAGGCTCGGATCCTATACACTGACCATGCGATTCAACATCAAACCTAACCACAGATTGGAACCATTGGAACTGGAAAATTCTACAACAACCTGCCTCATCATCATCATCACCATACTGCACTCGCAATACTACCAAAGACGCACAATCTGCAGACCCGAACACGATCAGATTATGCTCCTCCCAGACTCCACAGACAAATTCATACAAATTCACACAACCAGGAGGAGTTTCAACTTGAATCCAACAGCTATTTCCCTCTTCGTAATACTCAATAAAGTTACTAAAGGTTGGGGAACAGACAGTTGAGTTTACTCCTCCAATAGCAAACAAAGTGCCTTTCAGTACCACCAGGGGGCCGAGGCTCGCGACGCCTACTATTCATCTCAGGCAAAGCTGTAACGCTACCAGTAAAAGAGCTCCAGCAATACACATCTTGCCTACTATTAGAAGTAATGATAGAATGAATTCACAGCTCAAATAATCATCTTATTGAATACATCTCTAATGATGTCTATAAATATTACAAAGTTACTAATGGAGACAATCAAGGAAAGTGAGTGGAAGTTAATCAAATATCTTGATTGGTAATTTGATTCCAATCAAGGATATCATCAAGATATTACACTATTCCACACTATTCTTCTTTTTGTTTGATATTTCTAACACTCCCCCTCAAGTTGAATCATCCGTTTCGGATGTTTAACTTGCTTAATGTTGCTTGAAAGACTCCAGCTGGCACTGCTTTTGTGAGAATGTCTGCCAATTGATCTTCAGATCGGACATATGGAAGACTAATGATATCTGCCTCGAGTTTCTCTTTGATGAAGTGACGATCAATCTCGATGTGCTTGGTACGATCATGTTGTACTGGATTCTCTGATATACGAATAGCAGCAGTATTATCGCACATCAGTCTACATTTACCCTTCGGCGGATACCCCAAATCTTTAAGGAGTTTTCTTAGCCAAAGAACTTCAGTAATTCCTCGAGCGATCCCTCTGAATTCTGCTTCTGCACTTGATAGAGCAACTACCTTTTGTTTCTTGCTTTTCCATGTGACCAAATTACCTCCAACAAAGGTGAAATACCCTGAAGTGGATCTTCGATCGTTTGGATTCCCTGCCCAGTCAGCATCTGTGTAGGCTTGAATATCTAAGTGACCATGTTTTTTGAATGTAACTCCCATATTAATGGTCCCCTTAAGATATCTCACAATTCGAATAGCCGCATCCCAATGTTCCTTCTGTGGTTTGTGCATGAACTGACTTACCACTCCGACAGCATATGCA